GACCTATCCTGAGAAATTCTGCTTTACTGTATTTTACCCTTAAAAAAAATTTTTTTTTTACTTTATTTTTATTATTTGTGTGTGCGTGTGTACCATCAAATCAGATTTGACTGGTACAGGAGGAGATTGTTCCTCCTTCTCCAACACAGCATCTGGTGGATTCGAACCGCTCACCTCTGGGATTGCAGTGCAGCTTCTTGCCATTAGGCCACCAGAGCTCGCTTATTTTACCCTTTTTTATAGGCGGTTATTGTTGTGTACTGTCAAGCCAGAACCGACCCATAGCTGGCCCTCCAGCAGGTTTTCAGAGACAGTAAGAATTGATGCCTTTGAGCTGTGGAGTTGGAGAAAAGCACTGAACATCCCCTGCATGGCCAGAAGAGAACAGACAGACAGATAAATCCTGGAGAGGGTGCAGCCGGAGTGCTCTTTGGAGCTAAGAATGATGAGACTTTGCTCATATACTTTGGGCACGTTGCCAGGGGAGGATATTCTTTAGAGAAGGGCATGATGCTGGCAAGGGTGGAGGGTCGGTAAGGGAGAGGTAGACCCCTCAACTAGGTGGACTGACACGGTGACTGCTGCAGTGGGCTCTTGTGTGTCAGGAAGTGTGAGGATGGTGCAGGACGGTACAGGGTTCAGATCCTTTGTCCACAGGGTCTCTATGAGTCATACTTGACTTGACGGCACCTAACAAAAACAATAACAACAACAAATCACAGGGGAGGAGATTGCACTCTTCTCCCACAGGGTAGCTAGTGGAGTACATATACTTGGGATTGCAGTGCAATTTCTTAACACTAGGCCACCAGAGCTCCTTTTATTATTTTTGTTTGTTTGTTTTTTGTTTTATGGTGGGTGGGGTGTGTGTGGGAGAAAACCCCTTGAAGGTGGACGTGGGTCTTTTAATAGGAAACAGGGAGAGATTTGGCTAGGCGAGCTTTTACCCAGTCAGAGCAGGCTCGCTGGGAGAAAGGCCTTGGGAAGCTCAGTGGAAGGTCGCTTAACTAGCTGCCTCCTTACAGGAATTTTAATTGCTAATTCAAGTCTTCAGGAAAACCCAATTCCACTTAAGCACATAGCTTCAGGGGAGAGTGAGGTCTGGAGAGAGGATGACAGGTTGTTAAAAAGGCAAATGGTTTCAGAAATTACAATTATAGCTAAAGACCATCTATCTCCCTCCCACTGCCCAACCCCAACCCCAATAAAAAAAGGAAAAACAGTAATTGAGCGGCTGTTACTTAAACGGAAGTGCAGGCAATACCTAGCTGCAAACGTCCAATTTATAGACAACCTGAACTTGGCTTTAACGTTAGGTAAATCTGCCCTCACTTTAGTGATTAAATCAAGCTCTGTTTTTGTTATGCACCTCTGACTCAGAATCTACTCCTAGATGACCCTCCAGTGGGTTTGCAGAGGCTGTAAATCACACACCTCAGCTAGTGGATCTGAACCATGTGCCTTTGGGTTGGTAGTGCAACTCCTGACCACTAAGCCACCAGAACTCGAATCAGCCCCTAATCACACCAAATTCTACATCACAATCCCTTCCACTTGCCTTTTAAGATCACGGAAAAGACGAAACCTTTTCTTGCACTAAATCTAAACCGGTATCTACAAATCTATTCTAGATCTTGGCAACTTCCCCTTGGGTTTCTTGAGGCTGTAAGTCATTATGAGAGGAGATTTCCCATCTGTCTGTCCCCCTTGGATGGGTTCGAACAGCTGACTTTCTGGTTAGCAGCCTCACATGTAACATCCTAAACCACCAGAGTTCCTTTCTTGCACTAAAGTCAAGGAACCATATGCACCTCTTCTGACTTACCTACAAACTATTTTTTTTACAGCATATTTTCCCATTTTTTAAATTTATTCATTGTTACATGTTTTCCTCCCTGACCATCCCTTCCCCCCATTCCCTTTTTACTTTGAAAAGAAAATTCTTTCATTGTTATTCAATCCCACTCCCCCAAGTCCACAGTCCACTGTACTATGCACTTCTTTTTCTGGAATCTTGTCATGAAAATAATACCTAATTATGTATTTCTTTAAAACCGTTCTCTCCCTCATCTGTTTCAATGCAGTACACATCATTTATCCTCTCTTTTCTCAGTTTTCCCTCAACCCCAATGTCAGTTCTGTTTTACAACAGTGACACTATGCAGTATTTGTCCTTTTTTGACTGAGATATTTCACTTAGGATAATGTCTTCCAGGGTCACTAATTTTGTATATTTCATGAGTTCCTTGTTTTTCAATGCAGTGTAGTATTCCATTGTGTGACTATACCACAGCCTCTCGAACCATTCATTTGTTGATGAACACATAGGTTGTTTCCAACTCTTTGCTATTGAGAACAAAGCAGCAATAAACACGGGTGTGCGATACTTACAAACTTTTAATGACACAGTATTGGATCTTGTTTGTAATCTGAGGACTGCCTGTATTCAACAACAAAATTATCAAACATTTTCTACTTTAACATGTTAAACTTCACAGCCTTTAATGTTAGGATCAGAGAGAACAAAGGGAACATGGAGACAAGGGTCCAAGGAAGAAAGAGGCAAACAGATCTAGGGTTAGCAAGCACTCCAGCCAGCATTCTTGAGTAAGCTCTGCCCTACTCCCCACTCCACAGTTCTGCCCTGGGGGCAGCAGACCCCAGAGAAGCAACTACCGTGACCTTGGAGAACACTTGTGGTCACCATGGAAGACAGAGTTGCCTTTCACCACGAACTGGGAAAAGCAAGAAAGTTAAGATCAGGGAGAAGACCCCATAAAGATTGGAGCTCTGTCCCTAAACCGGCGTTCCTTGTCGCTCGCAAGAGGAAACCAGCTGTCTGACTCTCAGACAGTGAACTGCGCCTAGCTGTATTTCTTTCTTCTTTCAACAATAAACCTGATAATATTAACTTTTGTGAGTATCTGTGACAACTTCCTCTGGAGAGACCTCGCTAGTCCTCTCCGAAGCCTTTGACCTTGGGCATCTTTCACATGGCTCTTAGAATCTACCATTTAACATTTCACATCTCTATGACTTTTGGCATTGCCAGGCTAAAGAACAATCTTGGCATAAAAACAAAACCCACACTTGGCACAACCTGTAAAGCGATAACCCCTTTTCCTTATCGATCAGAATTCCTGTAGTGCAACATACTGTCTTCTCGTCAGCAAATGCACTAAGGTGAACAGCAGGATTTTAGAGAGCTTCAGATTGCAGTCACTCAGTTCTGGTCAGTTGTCCACATAGCATAAATGAGCCCACTGACACAGATCGTGTGCAGCCCACCCCACCCCTCAATCTGCTCACCCACTCTTCTCTCTTCTTTTGGGACTCTTCTCACCCAGCCAGATAAACGTTCGCTCAATTCTTCCAAGGCAAGACAATCTTACAGAAGCCTTCTAACAGAAGTGACAGGAAAAAAGACTTGAAGAATCCCAAAGGCCCTACTACCCTCGCTGGTTGGTGAACGTTGGGGACAATGGGACAGAAAGATTTTGTGATGTTCGATCGTGACGAGGCAGAAGAGCAATTTCTTCTGGAAGAAACTGTACAGTCTGGAGAAATGTTAAAAATTATTTGAACCACTGAGATGGGTGAGTTCTGTTACTAAAGTTGACACAGTCGATGGCTAATATTCATGAAACACTATCTTTTCTTATTTGTGGATGAAAAAGATTTAGAAAAGATCCAGTTTGACTTACTGTCTAAAGACTACATGATTCAAGATTAAAACACAGTTTGCCTGACTACTGCCATTAAAGAATTTCACCCTACAGATGGTCCACAAATACTATACTAATAAATTCCAGTGAATAAATATGTATATGTGTATATATAGGGAGATTTTGGGAAGGAAAAAAGCTTTCAGACTTCTGATTTAAAGAGCATTAATGAAAACCATAAAAGAATTCCTAACAAGAAAGGAAGAGAGAAGCATTTTTTCTTGTCTTTCACACGTTTTCCAGTTCCTTTTAAGAAAAGATCCCCTATAATCCCTAAAACTGCCATTCCTTGTACAAAGAATCCAGAGAATAATTCAATATTGAAAGAACTGAACGGAGATACAATATCCAGGCCCTCTTTCCTTCAGGGCATTTGCAAGCAGAACAGCCATGGCTTCTAAAACATTCTCTTCACTTTTTTTTTCCCTTTTGTGCAGCATAAAATGTTTACCAAAGGCTTTTAAAAACAGAATCTCATCAAATAGCTGAGAAAAATATTTAACAACCAAGGAAAAGCAATTACAGTCAAATTTTCACCTCGAGATTCTCATCTCAAGTGTGGGAGGGAAAGTGAAGCCTCCTGGCACATCAGTCTGAACCTAGAATGAGGATGAAAAGAGTTGAGTCTGCCAACAGTTGTCAACAAATCCGCATCTTTGAGTCTCAGGGAGAGACTGCAGAGCAGGCCGCCCACTTGAATATGCCTTAGCAACAGGCCCACTCACGGCAGGCTCAAGTCTGTGGGGAGTGTCCTGAGGACAGGCTAGATGTGGACATCCATGCCCCAAATTTAGCAAAGTCTGAGTGTGACCAATCCCTCTTTTGGATTGTTTCAGAAAGCATCATCAATTTTTAGACGAGGTGACAACAGAAGATGATGTTTTACATTCCCATACAACTGTGCAAACTCGGTTAAAAAATGAAAAAACATTTCATTGAGTTAATATTTGCCCCCAACTTTGGCCTTATCAACCAATTTACATTTAAGCATTTACACTTGTATTATCTGTTTCCGTATGAGCATTAGTTCTTTAGGATAAAGGCTTTCTGGGTGCAATGAGCTCAGATGTAATCTCGTCAGCCCTCGTGGAACACCAGGGTATGACTACAGAGTGCATTCCCAGAAAGGTGTGTTCAAGGGAACAGGGACTAAAGGACACACACCAGCTACTAGGTGTGGTCAGTAAGCGACCATCCCATGCAACACACTCAACATCAGAGGGCATTTCTTCACAGGGGAAGAAGGCAAAGTATTACAAAGGTACGACACCTTACCTGGGCCATCTGCCTCTCCAGTTTTGATCGGGGAATATCATCAAAGTAGTTCTCATTTCTTCTCCTCCTTGCATCGCCCTGCATGATAATGTGAGGAACGTCTAGGGAGCCACCAGTGGTGTAAGTGCTTTGGCTAAGTGATGGAGACAACTGAGGAGGAGTGTGATTACCACTGGGTTCCTGAATGGAAATACATCATGAAATAAATACCACGTCCTGGAGGCTCGCCTCTGCTTTCAAAACTGTGAACTACTGACATGACACAAAACCACAGGGGTGGGAGTCACCTCTGAATCCACTGCCGAGGACTTGAAGACAGCCTGGCATTTCATTAACTGGCATGAGTCCACACTTTCCCGCCCCTAAGTCTTTCAGGCCAACAATTTAAAGGCCACACAACTGGGATCTGTTTGCCCAGAGCAGCAATGTGACTGCTCTCAGAAGGGCACATCTGGGGACCCTTGACACTGTCACGGGTGCTTCCAAACACAGGAACCGTGTCTCTACGGCACGGTATCCTGAACCCAGGAGGTGCCAGGAGGAAGCGAAAATGGAGCCCAGAGGGTGCTGACCCATCTTCAGAGAGTATCAGGCCATATGGAGACACAGTATGGAAAGACAGAGCAGTGCACATAATGGCCTGGCACGCTTTCCATGGCAAGACAACGTAAGCTCGTGGAAGCTGGTTGGAAGTAAGGCAGGTGGCAGCGGAGAACTGCCCGCTCAGCCCTCGAGTCTGCTATTACGATGGAAGACTGGAGCCCTCCTGCTTCTCCAGGCCACTTCCTCTCTAGATATTTCAGATCTCTTCTAAGAGATTACGTTTCTGCACTTGTTCTTGGGCTTTTCCACCGTGATTTATCGTTGCTCTAAATCTCTTCTGGAACGTTGGTTAAATGTTGGGCAACAGAACCAAACAAAAAAAGTCATGTGCGGAGCTCACCGGTTCCTCCACAGGATAGAGAGGCGGCTATCTGGTTCTGTAACGCTTTACAGCCTTGGAAATGGAACAGGGCAGTCTACGCTGGCTTGTAGGGTTGTGACGAATTGGAATTGACTCAAAGGCAGTGAGTTCTGGGTTTGCTTTTTTTTAAAAAATTTTAATTTTTCCAAGGAGCCCAAGGGAGAAGCTCAGACAGAGAGTAACAGGGAGGAGAGGAAGCAGCATAAAATTTCTCCTCAAAGAATCCTTTTAGGGGGATAACATCGATATCATTATTCTTTTTTTCCTTTCATGAAGTGAAATAGAACAGTCATCTCGCTCTGACCTCAACCTCACTGTCCTCTCCAGAATTTATCTGAAGCTACTCTTCCAGCTGTTGTATACAGGGTCACGATGAGTCACAAGCGCCTCGGTGGCACATAACAACAACAAGAACTCTTCCAGAGAAGGGGAATGGGTCTTATTTCTACTGTCCTAACTTCCAAAGCTGGCTGTCAGTATCCTGGTTTATCCCTATTGTTGTTGTCATGCGCTGTGGAGTCTGAAACAACTGAGACCCTCCAGCGGGTTTTCTTTTTTCTTTTTTTTTCCAGCGGGTTTTCAGAGATAGTTAAATAGCAGGAGAGACTGCCTACCTTTCTCCTGTGGAGCAGCTGGTGGATTTGAACCATGTGCTTTGGGAGTGCAGCACAGCATCTTATCACTAGGCGACCAGAGCTCCCTAGTGTATCCCCGTATCTCCTATCACTCCATTTTCCCTAGGGCTTTGAGCCAATTCTCTTCAATTCCCTGAAGGTTTTGTGCACTCCCTTGTCCATCATGACTCTGGACTCTTCTCGGGGCATCCTCTAGGCAGTGCTGACAGCAGAGTTACGTTACTGACTGCTTTTCACTGCTCGGACACTGACGCTGGCAGTGTTGTGGACGGTTCTGCATCACCACCATTGTTTAACATGGACATGTGTGCAGAAAGAAAATCAGAAACGTGCGGAGTGAACTAAAGAGAAGACCAGAGTGGGTCCACTCTCCGGTTTATCAACAGATTGCAGTTTTCCAGCAGTTTTTAAGAAACATCAGAGGAGAGGGAATTGCTGCTGCCCCTTCCTGCCTGGCACTTATTCCTCATGTCCTCTCAAACTCTCTGCCCTTTCCCTTCTGCCTCCCTGCTCTTTCTCTTGTATTTCTCTCCCATAATCAAGAAATACAGAGGAAAAGAAAAGTTCAAACTCACTGCTCTTTGAGTCAGAGCTGCCTCAGAGCTCACCCTCCGGAGGGTTTTCCAAGACTGTAAAATCGCCTGGGAAGAGATGGCTCATCTTTCTCCAGAGAAGCGGCTAGGGAAGTGGGACCCCCAGAGAGGCATTACCTCGGGGTGAGCAGTGCAGCTCCTGCCGACTGTGACGCCAGAGCTACATACGCTTTATTAAAAGAAAGTTTCATCTTTACGTTCTGTCCACACTTTCTAAAGTGGGCAGGAGCCAAGCAATTTTTACTTCCGAAAAAGTGACCACCCTAAGGTTACATTTAAATTGATCTTAACTATGGTCTTCAAGCAATTGAGAGGTTCTACAGACGACACATTCCCTGACTACTGGCATGGACAGGAGCGAGAGATGATGAGAGAGTGATCACGTCAGCTGGCATTCCATTACAGGTGTCTGTCCTCAGCTCCAAAGTAAACATTTTTATCATTCATCTGATATTATTATCTTCTAAAAATGTAATCGAAAGGGGAATTTTTTTTTTTTATACACAAAGAGGTAAGCTACCTGGGAAATAGCCCAGCCTTCCTGATCCACTGTTTCTACCATTTTTCTTTCACGAAATACTTTTAAGGCCAACAGACCACGAAGATGCTCTCGCTTACCCTGAGGGTGATGGACCGAGGGGGCTTCTGGGGAGGGTCGTCGTGTAGCCGGTCTCCCAGAGAGGCCAAAATCCGCTTCCTGTGGCCAATCAAACTGATTTTTAAAACCTGAAACAAGATACACATGGGTTAAATACTTCACTGGAGAAACAGCGTTGTAACACGCGCTAAAAAATGTGAAGGAGCTAAAAGATTCGCGCCTAGCTGCCTTTGCAAGATGGGAGATGGAGTTGTGGCACAACACTGAGAGGGACGGCAGCCAGGAAGGCTAGTGGTGAAGCAGTGGGGGTGGAAAGAGCAGGGAAAGTTTTCCCTTCCTCCTACTGTCCATGAAGCCCACTGTCCACACAGAAGCCAAAATGGTCTCTGAACAGCGTACATCAAACCACCAGCTGAGAACACTCCAATGGGTTCTTATTGCCCTTAGAAATAAAACCCGAGTCCTGCCTTGGCTTCGAGACCCTTCAGGAACTGGGCCTTTCTCTCTTTGTCCTTGACCTTGGTCACACTGGTCACCTCTGCTCCTCCCCCCCTTGTACCCATAACCCCCTTGAGGCTTCTGCCTGGTCGCTCTTCTGTCTGGAATGTTCTCCCCCAGGGCTCCAATGACGGCAGCTTCTACTCACTCCAAACCCAGCTCACACGTGGTCTCTTCAGGAAATCCCACCTCAACCTCTTTGCTAATAGCTGTAACCTCGACTCCCATCCACGCTCTACCCTCTGAACGTTTTCATCGTTCTCCGAGATCACTTCATTTACAGTTCGAGGCCCTCCTTTACCCTGACAGATAACGACAGAAGGACCCCGGATCCTTATCACTGTTGTTAGGTGCTTTGGAGCCAGATTATCACTCATTGGGACCCTAGGAGCAACAGACCTAAACCCCGCCCTAGCCAGTGCCATCCTCATCATCTCCGATACACTGGAGCCTACAGCCACGGTCACTGTCAATCCATCTCACTGGGGGGTGGGGGTGTCTCCTCTCTCTTGCTGATCCTCCATCTTGTCACTACGGCATCCCAAATGCTCAAAGCCAAGTTTACGGCAGCAAAAGCTCAACACAATGGAAGAAGGACTAAGACTAGAGATTCAAAGTCAAGTTGCAAGCACTGTATCTATTCCGACTGACTTCTACAGAGGAAGGCCTAGTGGTCAAGAAGCCATGCTGCAATCCAGAAGGAATGCAGTTCAAATCCATCAACTGCTCCATGGAGAAAGATGGGCAGCCTCCTCCTGTGCAATTAACTGCCTTTGAACACCTGCTGGAGGGTCATTTACAAGTCAGTTCTTGACTTGACAGTAAACAGCAACAGCGTTGTGAAGGGGGCACTCTGGTGTGTAGGGAGCTGTAGGGCTAAGCCAAAAGGTCAAGGCTCTGAGGGAGGAAGGAGGGCCATCTCCTGTCATGTAATTTACAGCCAGCAGAGGATCAGTTCCAACTCGATGGTAAGAAGGGTTTATGTGCGTGTCCTGAATAAAGCCCATTGCAGAAGTGAGTCAAAGGCACTAACAGTTATGGAAGGGCTTCAATTCCTAACCCTGTTCCTGGCACTTAACAGATGGTGCAAGCGTGGTCAGCGATTTGTACATAGGACCATCATGAGTCTGACTGATTTCTTCTTCTTGCTGAGCACCGCAGAGTCGAAATCAACCCAGAGCTGACCCTCCAGCAAGATTTCAGAGGCAGTTAGCTGCAGAGGAGGAAACTGCTCACCCTTCACCCCAGGAGCAGCTGGTGGCCTTGAACTGTGTGCCTCCGGGATGGCAGTACAGTTTCTTGCCATTTAGTCAGTTCCAATTCCTGGCTTTGTCTGGGGAGACTGAGTACACCTTCCTACTGGCTGAAAAGGTCAAGGCCTTCCTGGCTGGTCTGTCTGCATTTGTGGCTGCTGCTCCCGGTGCTGTGGCCCCAGCCAAGGTGGAAGCAAAGGTAGAGTTGGAGGAGCTGGGCAAGGAAATGGGGTTTGGGGGGTCTCTCTAGTAACCAAAAGCCACCAACTCTGCCAGCTTTATGAAAGAAGGAAATAAAGGCTTTAAAATAAAATGAGGCTAAATCTGGGAAACCCTGTGTGACAGTTCTTCTGTGTCACAGTTGGAACGGCCTCGGAGGCATCCCGAGATGCTTCTTGGAGTTCTCTGGTGGCCTAGTGGCAAGAAGCTGTACTGCAATTCGAGATGCTTCTTGGTTACTCTGTTGGTCTTTCTGCTTCAATTAGAGTTTAACCTAGTCCTGTATCCTATTCTTTGTATGTCACAGTGTGTGATGGGTCCCTGATCCATGTCTGTGGATAATGACGGGAACGGTAAGCAATGACCAGCATGAATGTCCACATGCACCATCTTCCTTTGGACTCACAAACCGTCATCTTCTTAGGGTGACGTGCCCCCATCTTCCCATTCTGTCTGACAGATCATGTTGGTTAACTGTACTTTCCCTGTACCTTATCCCACCTTATTGCAACTGCTTAGAGTTTGCTGAATAAACAGTTCACAATATCCCAGGTATAAGTGAACTGCGGCTTTACATTTGAACAGAGTACTATTATCTGTTTGGTTATGGGGGTTTTGAAAGTGTACTCTTTTATTTTTTTCCCCTGCTCTTTTTAAATTTTTCTACTAGTTTATTTACAAAATTCAAATACAAATTTGAACAAATTCTTTCACTCTCCCCCACCTCTCGACCCATCAAATCGTACAACCAAATGAATAATCCCCTCTTCCCCCTGCACATCCACATCCCTCTGGTTCCAGCCTCTCCCACCCTTCCTGGATCCTTATACTCATTCTACAATAACAGTTTTATACAATATTTATCCTTATGTGACTGAGGTAGTTCAGTCAGCATATAAAGTGTTCTTTTTTAAATGCCTTTCCTAAGAACATCTAGTTGATGTCTGACCAGTCTTTCAGTTGCAATAGCAGTAACTAGGGGCCAATGGTGGGAGAAGGATGGGCAATGTCCTCCCGGGCAATTAACTGCCTCTGACAACTCACAGGAGAGTCAGCTATGGGTCGGTTCCGACTCGACAGCATGCAACAACAACAAGGGCCGAAGTTTACACGAAACACAGTGTTAGCTTTATTACAGGCCATAGTTCACAACCCTTTACTCATGGACGGACCGTCTGAATGACTTCTCTCCACATCCCTATTCTACAGCTGTCCGCACAGGAGCCCATCTGCTGTCCTCTGGCCACGCATGGAGCCTGTGTTCCTTCTCTGCATTTCTGTAAGCCAGCTTGGCACTTCGCTACCTGGAAGAGCTTAGTTTTCACAAATCTGGAAATTTCACCGTGTTCTCTTTCTTTTGGGTGATTTATAAATATGCTGACTACTTGCAGACACCGCTGTTTATAAGATCCAGAGAAATACCCTTATACTGCATTGTGTTTCTTTTCTTTTTTCCCCCTTAAGCATGGAGATCAGAGAAATCTCCTATCTCAGAAAAAAAAAAAAAGACATTAGCCTTTTCAAATGCCTTTTGCAAGTGTAAATACACAATCTTTTCTTTCATTTATTTATGTTTTGAACTTCCTGTGGTTTGGGTGAAAGTTTACAGAGTAAATTAGTTTCCCATTCAATAATTCACATATATTGTGTTTTTTATGATGTTGGTTGCAATCCCCTCAATGAAATAACACTCTTCCTACACTTTCCCTGGATTCATTGTTTACATCTGCCCCTTCACCTGCCCTTTCTGAACTTTGTTTTTGGGCAAATGCTGCCAGTCTTGTCTCCTGGGGTTGGTCGTTCTGAGGAGCACACTGCTACTTCTTGTTGTTATGTGTCACTGAGTGTCTTGCGACTCATAGCTACCCTGTGTACAACAGCTCTGAGCCCTACTCCATTCTGAGCCAACCTCATCATCTCCGACAACCCCTCACGAACCCAGTCACAGAGTCAATCCATCTCATCCAGGGTCTTCCTCTTCTGTACCCTCCCTCCACACTCCCAAGCATGATGTTCCTCTCCAAGGACTGGTCCCTCCTTGCAACATGTCCAAAGTATGTCAGACGGAGCTTCAGAATCCTTGCCTCTAAAGAGCAGACTGGCTTCAACCTCTCCAGGATGAACCAGTCCACTGTATATTCAATACTCTTCTCCAACACCACAGCTTAAAGGCATCAATTCTCCTTTTATCATTCCTAGTCATTGTCCAGCTCTCTGATGCATAGCAAGTAACTACAAAGACCATGGGTTGGCTCAGGCACACCTTAGTCTCCAGACTGAAACTGTTGCTCTTCAGTACTTTGGAGAGGTCCCTGACAGAAGACTTTCCCAAGGCAATCAAGTGTTCTGAGATTTCCATTCTTTTCAGAGTTAGCCACAGTCTGTTGTGATCCACACAGTCAAATGCCTTTGTATAGTCAATGCATTCACTTCATAGGTTTGCTTTTTCTGTGGCTGAAAGGTGATACCTGGCTTTGCGTCCAGTTCTAGGTTGGAAGGGACTATGGAGTGTGGTCCAGCACCCATAGTCTCAGAGGTTCTAGCAGTCTCTGGTAGACAGGTAAATGTGGCTTTCCCCTCCTGATTCTGAATTTTGTTCTACGTCTTCGCCTTCTCTGTCCCTTCAAATGTGATTCGGGTCAGAGCTGTCAGGAGGGGTAGCTGGTACCATGCCCTTCTGGTGTCAGCTGACTGGAAGCTGTGAGCCATGGGATCATTAGTGCTTTGGTCTGATTGTTTCCTCAGGTCTGAACTTATTCACTCTTCTTCAGTCTAGACAGGAAGTGACCAGTACCTTCGAGGGCCACTTGCAAGCTATTTAGTCCCTACAGCTACTCACTGGCCTACTGTTAAAGGGGCTGTGCTGCCAAATCAAAGGCACGCGGTTCAAATCCACTAGCTGTTCTGCTAGAGAAAGACAGACAATCTTCTCCTGTGGGGCTTACTGCTTCTGCAAACCTGCTGGAGGATCGGCTATGGGCTCTGACTTGACAGGACATAACATCACAAGTAAAATGCAGAACACCATCTTTTTAGGCTATATTAAACCAGGTCACCTAGATGTTCCTTGAGACTCTGGCCCTGATCTCCTAAGTCCAGTGAATCACTTCTTAAGGTTTGCGTAGCTTCCCACCATGTATGTTCTACTGTATTCGTTG